CTGCCTTTGGCAATGGTAGAACTCACACTGGTGCGGTAGCAGGATCCGGTGGTTCTAGACTTGCCAACTACGGCTCCGGGGCACCGCCGCGGACACGAGCGTCCCCCTGCTGTCCCCTGCTGTCCCCTGGTGTCCCCTGGCCCCCCAGGGCTCTGCTACCGGCCTGGGAGGGCCCCGTGGGGTCCGGGGAGGGCCCCGCTCCATCCGTGTGGATTTGGGGGATGCTGTGGGTGCCCTGCACACGTGGTGTGGGGGGATGGCGATGCTGGGCTGCCCCCCAGCCCGATGGGGGGGGTCTGGCATCCCAGCCCATCCCCATGGCAGGGGGAGCCCGGGATCTGCGGGATACCGGTCATTGGAGCAGCGCGGCCGCGTGTCCCCGCGTGACTCTGGGCGTCGAGGGCTGATCCGGCCCCGCGGTCCGGGCAGGGCCCTGCGGGGGTGGGATTAGGAAACCAGCCCCGGATCCAGCCCCGGATCCAACCCCCGGATCCGACCCCTGATGCAGGATCCAACCTCTACTCCTGGATCCGACCTCTGCTCCTGGATCAGACCTCTGCTCTGGCCCATCTCCCAGTCTCCTGGATCCCACCCCAAGCCAGCCCCGTGCAGGGAGGAAACTGAGGCACGGATGAAGCCGCTGGCGGTGGCAGCTGCCACATGTCCCCTGCGTGTCCCCGGGTGCGGGAGCAGGGATGGTGTCAGCTTTTAGGGGACAGGGAATATGAGGGGAGGGGCAGCTCCGGGCTGTGCTGGGGGTGGGGGGCTGTGCACGCCCCCTTCCCCCCACAGCCCAGCTCGGGGTGGCCGGGATGTGCTGGGATATGTAGGGCAGCCCTGGGTGATTACGGAGCTTTCGGCATAAGCCCGCGGAGATTGGATCACGCTGGATTAGGCTGCACGCTCCAATCATCCTCCCCGCGCCGGGGGGCAGGGAGGGACGGACAGACGGACGGATGGGGGTCCCCATCGCCCTGCTGGGGCAGGTGGGGGCTGTGGGGGCACAGGTGTCCGTGTGTCTGTCTGGTCGTTCATCCGTCTGCTCGTCCAGGTAACAAACACCCAACGTCTGTCCATTCCTGCAGCCACATCCATTGCCTGTACAGACACCTATCCCCTGTCTGTCTGTCTGTCCAGGCATACCAGCCTTTCCATCTAGCTGTCCACCCACCTGTCTGTCCGTCCTGGCCCATCTCCCAGTCTGTCCGTCTGTCCATCCCTCCCTCCCCCCCGTGCTGGATTTAACCCCACCCCCACTCTGCAGCGGGGCCCTGCCCTGCTGGGGGGGAATTTGGGGGGGTCAGGGGTGGAGCATCCCCAGCCCCACCCCCTGACCACACCTCCAGGAGCTCCACCCCTCCCGAGGCTCCGCCCCAAAGTGCAGCCGGTGCCCCCCAGGACCAGCGTTCCCCAGGATCAGCTCCCTGTGAGGGAGCACCCCAGGACCCCCCTCCGTCCTGGCCCTTCCCAGCTGCAGCAGCCGGGCCCATCCTCAGCATCCCCCTGCATTTCTGGGGTCAAATCCTGCACTTTGGGGCCACTTTGCAGTTCAGGGCCCTCCCTGGGCACAGCAGTGCCGGGATGGGGGGGGTCGAGGCAGAAAATCCACACAAAGACCCCCCCCAATGCCTGGGGGACCCCCTGTAACACCCAGGCTGGGGGAGGGAATGGGTGCAGCCCACCAGTCCCTCCCAGTATGGGATGGAGGTTCCTGGTGCATCTCCAGCCCCACCAGTCCCTCCCAGTATGGGATGGAGGTTCCTGGTGCATCTCCAGCCCCACCAGTCTGTCCCAGTATGGACTGGAGGTTCCTGGTGCATCTCCAGCCCCACCAGTCCCTCCCAGTATGGGGTGGAGGTTCCTGGTGCATCTCCAGCCCCACCAGTCCCTCCCAGTATGGGATGGAGGTTCCTGGTGCATCTCCAGCCCCACCAGTCCCTCCCAGTATGGAATGGAGGTTCCTGGTGCAGGTTCCAGCCCCACCAGTCCCTCCCAGTATGGGATGGAGATTCCTGGTGCATCTCCAGCCCCACCAGTCCCTCCCAGTATGGGATGGAGGTTCCTGGTGCATCTCCAGCCCCACCAGTCCCTCCCAGTATGGAATGGAGGTTCCTGGTGCATCTCCAGCCCCACCAGTCCCTCCCAGTATGGGATGGAGGTTCCTGGTGCAGGTTCCAGCCCCACCAGTCCCTCCCAGTATGGACTGGAGGTTCCTGGTGCATCTCCAGCCCCACCAGTCCCTCCCAGTATGGGGTGGAGGTTCCTGGTGCATCTCCAGCCCCACCAGTCCCTCCCAGTACGGGTCAGGCTGTTGGTGCTGGGGGCTGCAGGAGCTGCCCCAGCAGGAGGCCCCTCGCTGCTTATTAAAGGCCGATTAACGAAGATTAAAACTCCCAGCAGCGTCTGCCGGGCTGAGCCGCCTCCCCCGGCCCTGCTGCCGGACCCGGGGCCCCTTTGGGCCACCCCAGCCTGGCCATGGGATGTCCTGGGGTCCCCAGAGGTCCCCAAACCCCCAGGTCACCCTCCCAGCACCTGCAGTGTCGCAGGGGATACCTGTGAGCCCCCAGTGCTCCTTTCCTCCCTCTCTTTGTCCTTCCAGCTTTTCCTGCTCTTCCTCTCACCCCAGGCCACCAGGAGCCCTGCAGGATTCCCTGGATCCAGCAACCACCCTTCAATAAAGCTGCTGAAACCCATCCCTGCGTTTCCTGGCTCCTCCTTGGGTTTGCACTCCCAAAACAACATCGGCCCCGGGGCTGAGAAGGGGCTGAAAATGGAGGAATTCACCCCAAAAAGGCAGCTCAGCCCCTGGGTGGGAGCGTGGGGGGATGCTCTGGCACCCCCAGGGTTGGTGCTGGAAGGTGAAAATGAGATAAATTGCATCAAAAAAACGATTAACCCCAAAACCATCTTGGTGATGCTCAGCTTCTCCTCCCCAGCCCCAGCACGGGAGGGGGGAGGGACCCAAAACACCCACCAGGAAGGGAGGGATGGCAAATATTCCCAAAAGACCCCCAAATCCCCCAAAACAGGAGAGCTGGACACCCGGGTAGACACATTTGTAACAATTTATTGAATGAGGCAATAATAGACACTGGGAAAACAAGGGGGGGTCCATGCTCTGCTATTTGCCTGGTTTTTGTCTTTTTTTTTTTTGGGGGGGGGGACTAAAAGAACCTCATTTCATTGCCAAAGAAACACTGACTTGGAAAGCCACCGACATCTTCACAACGACGATAAAAAAATAATCATTAAAAAACAAAAACCCAAAAAACTTCATAAATTGGAGAACCAGGACAGTTTCTATGGAAAGATCTCCCTCCCCTCGGAAAAAGGACCGAAGAACTGTATACAAAGAACATTTGGTAGGTTTGTTTTTGTGGGTTTTTTCTTTTTTTTCCCCCATATAAAACAAGTAAATACAAGAATTTATCTGAAAACTTCCTCGAAGGCAGAGCGAGACGTGGAGAACTTGAATGACCACTTGGAAACCATAATAAAAAACCCCCAAAACAACCCCAAAAATTAAATCCCATGGGAAGTGCTTGCGGGGAGGGGGGGGGTTTGGTTGGGCACGAGCGTTTGGCCCATGGGGACGCCGAGTAAAATCTGCCCCCCAAAAACACCCCACCCCACCCCAAAGGCTTTGTTGAACCCTCCTGGGAAGGATTTTGGGGTTAAAACCGTGCTGGGAGAGGCACAGGGCAGGAGCAGGACGGGGCAGGGGGCTGGGGTGAAGAGGGGCCCCCAAAGGGAAGGGTCTCGCTCGCATCCCCCCCGCAGGCAAAGCTTTTCCTGGAGGAACTGCAGGAGGAGAGGCCGGGGGTGGCAGCAGGGAATGGGAAGAGCCCGAGGTGGCTCCTTTTAGAGGGAAATCCCGGGAATGTGGTGGGAAAAAAGGGGGGGGGGGGACACAGCCAGAGCCCCTTTAGAGGCGCTTCCGCTCCGGTCTAGAGCCACGAAACCGGGAAATAATAATAATAACAACAACGACAACAACAATAATAATAATAATAAAGGAAAAAAACAAAACAAAACAAACAACCCCGAGGATCTAAAATGGCAGGGACGAGAGCAGAGAAGTAGGAACAGGTCTCCAGTGTGCACCAAGGGGAGCCGAGCGGGCGCGGATCCTCCGGCAGGCTCCTGGGAGAGCGGCATCCCTTCGGGAGGTCTCCATCACCCCCCTGCAGTCACACATGCATTTATTTATTTTTTTTAATTTTTTTTTTTTTTCTTTTGTGGTTTGTTGGGGATTTTTGTTGGTTTTTTTTTTTTGGGTTTTTTTTTTTTTTCTTTTGTGGTTTGTTGGGGATTTTTGTTGGTTTTTTTTTTTTGGGTTTTTTTTTTTTTTCCCTGGAGGGGGTTTTTTTTTTTTTTTGTTTTTGTTTTTCCGGGGCGGGTTTTTTGGAATATAAAAGTCCATATTAAAATCTTTGATACCTAATTTGCTGTCGAGGTCGGTGCTGGCTGAGGGTGTCCGTGCTGCCCCCCAGCCTCCTCCTGCTCGATCCCACGTGGGGGAAAACGGGGCATAAAGGGTCGCTTTATTTTTATTTTTGTTTTCTTTCCAACCTCCTCAGAATCAAAGTCCCGTCACAATTTGGCTTCTCGTTCCTCCGAGAGCAGAGTGGCGCTAGAAAAATGCACTTTACACACATCCTCTGCCAGGATTTGGTTGGGTTTTTTTTTTTTTTTTTTTTTTTTTTTTTTTCCGTTTAAAAATTTGCTGTCGAGGTCGGTGCTGGCTGAGGGTGTCCGTGCTGCCCCCCAGCCTCCTCCTGCTCGATCCCACGTGGGGGAAAACGGGGCATAAAGGGTCGCTTTATTTTTATTTTTGTTTTCTTTCCAACCTCCTCAGAATCAAAGTCCCGTCACAATTTGGCTTCTCGTTCCTCCGAGAGCAGAGTGGCGCTAGAAAAATGCACTTTACACACATCCTCTGCCAGGATTTGGTTGGTTTTTTTTTTTTTTTTTTTCTATTTTTTTCGATTTAAAAAAAAAAAAAAAAAAAAAAAAAAAAAAGAAAAAAGGTCAATAAAACCTTCCGTTTCCAAAGCTGGGAGACTCAAATGCCACCTGATTGCATCTCTGGAGAGGCGTAAAAAAAAAAACTGAAGTGGAGGAGGACGGGCTGCTCCGAGGTCACTGATCCAAGGTCACCACCTCCACCGCCTGCCCGTCCATGGTGACGGCCGTGTCCGCTATCCGCGTGGTCACCGGCGCCATGGCCACCTGCACCGGGCCGTTGCCCTGCGCCAGGCTGGTCACCACCGTCTGGTACATGCTGACCGGGATCTGCACGAGCCCTGCGGGGACACAAGGGACACCCGTGGGGTCGGGGCCGTGGGGTGCCTCGGTGCTGCTCTGCTGGGCGTGATTTGGGGGGTATTTCGGGGGGTTCTTTGGAGCTCTCCCGCTTGCAGGAGGGTCCTCGAGGCTGTGAGGATCTGGAGCTGCTGGGGTGAACCCAGGGGAGGCCCTGGAGCTGCTCCAGGGTGGATGGAGCCACTCTGCTCTGGAGCCAGGCTGGGAATGTTCACCTGGAGAAGGGAAAAATCCAGGGAATGCTGGACAGGGATTGGAGGAACCTGGGCTAATGTGAGGTGTCCCCGCCCATGGTTTGGGTTGGAACTGGACGATCTCTAAAGTTCCTTCCCAGCCAAACCATTCCATGAGTCCATCCATGAAAACCAGCAGTGAGGAAGGGCAGTGCCCCCCCCCAGCTGTGCCCAGGCTGGGGAATGATCCGTGCCTCGGTGCCCTCGCTGAGCTGGACCTGCCCTCCCTGGAGCCAGCGGGATGGGAGCGGGGATGGGATGGGGCTGAGAGGGGTGGCAGCACCTTGGGGCCCACACCCCGGGGCTGTGAGGCTGCAGGGAAGGAATAAGGATGAGGAGGAAAGAAATAACATCATTTTTGGGGGAGGAACCCAGCCCAGCCGTGCTCTGGGGTGGTACAGCAGGGAGCTGCTCAGCCAAACCCATCAGGCCGAGTTTTCCCGGAGACAGGGACTGCTCCCACCCACCCCACAGCCCACCAGGGATCCCCCACTGACCAGGAACACGCTCCTCACATGCATTTTCCACTTGATATGCCCAGAATTGGGAACAGTGGGGCTGAGGAGGGGATAAATTTGGCTTCTCCCATCCCCTGTAACTCGGCAGGTCACCCCAACACCTCCCCACCGGCGGGACGTGAGAGGATCCCATTGCTGTGCACCCGTGAGCCCCTTACAACCCCTCTCCAACACAATTCCCTTCCTCCTGCTCCCTCTCCATCCCAGCCAGGTCCTTCTCCCCTCACAGGGAAAGGGCAGTGTGGGACCAACAAGCCCTGGCCAAGCCCAACCTGCTCCTGGCTCCTGTGTGAGCCCCCCAGGCTCTCACACGTGTGTATGTGACACACAGAACAGAGAAAGGAAAGCAGTCCCCCTTTCTCAGCCCTTCCCCAGTCGTGGATGGGTCCAGCAAAGCAGAAACAGCTTTTCCCAAGGCTGCAGACATGGATCAGCTGCCTCCAGGCTGAGGATGGAGCTGGCAAAGGTTCAGGCTGGGAGGAAAACGCCGCAGTGCCAAAGGTGAGTCCTGGTGAGCCAGGAAACACCAACCAAGGTGACACCAAAACAACGAGGCCCCTCAGGGTCACTGTGATGTAAATGGTGGAAAGAGGTGCAAAAAATAGCAAGGAGCACTCGACAGAGCTGGGCAGGGGAGGGGAATGGCAAATCCTGGAGGCTGGGAGGAGAAACTCCATTGTTGTACTCCATCATTGTACTCCCCGTGCCCACCTCCACCTTGCTTGGCCAAGCGAGAGAATTTAGACATTTCAGAAACTACCCACACCTCTGCTGGGGGAAAAACCAGCTTTTTGAGGTCAACAAATCCTTCCAGCTGCAGCACAGGATGGGTAGCCAGCCCTGCCAGGACACCAGGCTCCCGAGCCAGGCTTTCCCGAAAAAGCAGCGCAATTCCTTTGGGCTGAGGAGCAGAGCTCTGCCCTGCCAAGGGCACGGGTTTGGTAACAGGGGCGGCTCCGTGTCCTGGCATAGCTCTGTGTGCAGACAGGAAAGCTTAGGAGTTAATCGTGCTGACCAGGTGGGTGACCCCGTGCTCCCCCAGCATCCCTCCCCCGGGGTCCCAGCGCTCCGTGGGCCGGGAAGTTTCCTGATCCCCCAGCCCGAGGGTCGTGGCCACATTCCCCAGGCCCAGCCAAGGAATTGGTTCCCTGCTTGGTTGTTCGGCACCGGCTGCCAGGAAAGGCACAGAGTCAGGAGGAGGTTCCCAGCTCCTGGGGCATTCAGGGAATTTCAGGCAACAGAAGAAATGAGCAAACAGAGCCCAGGCTCAGCCCCGCTGAAGAAAATCTCCGAGGGGGAACACGGCACATCCCAGTTTAGGCAAGAGCTGGAGCTCTGGCCTGGCATGCACCTCAAATCCCCGCTCCAGACCAAGAAGCCAACTAAGCCCTTTGGGTTACTGGGGTTGTCAGCCCAGAGGAGATCAAACCCACGGACAGCCCAGGCAGCGGAGCCGCCACCACGCCGTGGGCCGCGGACCGCGCGGCGCTCCAGCCACCGTCCCTCCGCGCTGCCCAAAGGCGCCAAAACCGGGCGCTGGGTGTTTGGGAAGGGAGAGCTGATCCAGCCAGGGCTCGGCCACCTCCGGGAGCGCGGGGAAGTGTCCGTGAGAGGCGGCGCGGCGCGGACCCCGTTCCGCGTGGGATTAACGCAAATCGCCTCAGCAGATGACGTGGCGGCCCTTGCTGCCAGGGGTGGTAACACAGCAGAGCAGGAGAGGGCTGAAAGTCTGCATTAGAGCAGGGCTGATCGCCCTTGGGAGGGAGACGATTAAAGCACTGAGATGCTGTAATCAGGTCTGGGATTGCATCTGCTCAGACCTGCGCCCTGATTAGCCCTAATCTAGCTGGCATATGTTAATCTAAAGCATGGATTTCAGACCCTTTCAATTGTATTAAAAACAGGAAATCCATTAGACAAAAAAAAAACCCTCCAAAAACCCAATCAGCCCCAAATCGACTTCTCGAGTCTTTGGGAAATACATTTCTGCAAAGAAAGTGGAGCAGAAGAGGATCCCACAGGAACCTGTGGCTGCTCAGACCAGCTCCTGCCTGGCAGGGACAGCAGCAGAGGATGTGATGGGTCACACACAGCAGCACAAACCATGCCCACGGGCTCCCAGGAAGATGCAGCCAGGCTATGTCTTTGCTTCCCCACGGTGAAGCCACCCAAAATTCCCCTCCTGTCCTGGGCAGGAGTGAGGAGCCAGCTCCAGGCAGCTGGGGAGATGGTGGGAACCTTCTCAGCACCCTCGTGCTTGAGAGAAGAATCCGAGAGTGGAGCTGTTCCCTGAGAGGAGTTTATGGCTCTAGAGGTTGTGATGCCACAAGAAACACTGCTGGGCACAGAGGAGGAGGAGGGACACGAGTCTGGGGTCATGGAGCAGCACAGAACTATTGCCCTTGGGAGTTCTTTTATGGGACAACATGGAAAATGCACAAGGACTTGAGCGATCACCTTGGAGCCCCTCAGAGAGCACAGGACATTGGTTTGGAGCAAGGCAACATCACCTGCTGAAAACCCAGAACCTCGACTGGCGCTGCCACTGGGGGTCCCGTGGCTCCAGAGGCCAAGGCTGACTCTTCTTGCTCTGGTTTCCTGGACACCAAGGGCCCAAGTGCTGCAAGCTGTGAGCTCTGCAGAGTCAGGAGTGAGTGATCCCACCAGCCCCTCAGCCCCCTGTTTCAGCACCAAATGGAAAAGGCTAAAAAAGGTGGAATTTTCCACTGGACTTTCTTGGCTGTTGATGTCCTCTTTCAGAGGAGTTTGTTTCCATCAGCACTGAGGGGAAACCAGAGCAAACTCTGCTGAAGCCTTTTGTGGCAGATGCTCCTGCACCTTCTCCTTCCCCTCCTCTGGAGCAGGGGCTGAGGAATCCAGCAGAAATTCCTGTGCTCAGGAATGCCCTAGCACACAGGGCAGCAGATGCCATCTCATCACACGCTCCTTGCAGAGCCAAGGGTGACTTTTGAAGATGTGATGGAAGAATTCTTGTCAATGATTCAGAATGAGTAGGTTTTAATACATACCAAAAAAAAAAAAAAAAAAAGGAAAAAAACAAGCCAGAAGGCCTCCAAAAAATGAAATGTTTGCCCTTGGTGGGCAGCACAACAAAGGGGCACAGGGCATGCTTTGGTCTGCATTCCCGGGTGTAAATACATCAAGGCTGATGCAGGTAAGTAGGAATAATCATCTTTTCTCCCAGTGTTTCCCCCAGTAAGACACAAACTTGAAGTCCAGCATGGAAACCTGCATGTGGAAAAAATCCCAGACAACAGCTAAACATAAGGTTGGTGAAGCTCTGGAGCAAAGTCTCCATCACTGGAGTGTTTTAGAGGAAGTAAGACCGAGGCTGGCTCAGGAAAGGGGCTGGTCCTACAGAATCCTGGAGCAAAAACCATTTCTGTCCTCACCAACTGCGTTTTTGGACACCACCTGGACTCTTACTGCCAACACTGCTCAGCACAAACATTAAAATGTCCCACACCTGATTTTTATGAGACGTTTCCCTTGACTGGGAACTTGGTTTGTGAAGATTTCAAAAAAAATATCCTCTTGACCACCTCCCTTCTGGGGAGCTGACTGGAGAGGCCTTCAAGAGGTGGAGGAGGGGGACAAGCAGTGGGCACCAGGGTGTATTTTCAGGGAGATAAACCGGTTTCTGATGAGGTCCAGCCACAGCAGCTGAAATGAGAGCTCTCAGAGTCAGCTGTTACCCTGACAAATCCTCAAGTGCCAAACCAAACGTGTCCCTTGAGGCACGAGGTGCTGACACGACACCACGGAAGGGATTTCACCCGAAGCCAGCCTCAGAAATAAAGCATTTCAGGAATCCCACCACACTCAGCAGTGACAGAGGAGCAGAGGACATCTCTCAACACGGACACTTGGTTTAAGATAAGATGAACTGAAAGCTGAGCCCTCCATCTTTTACCACCTCAGCTGCAAGAGCATCAATGATTAACTCTAACTGACAAATCTCTCAGGATGATAATTGGAAGGATTTTTCCCATCAGAAATGGCTCAGTGTCTCTGGAAGTGTCCAAGGCCAGCTTGGACAGGGCTTGGGGCAACCTGGGATAGTGGGAGGTGTGGCTGGACCAGGATGATCTTTGGTCCCTTCCAACCCAAGCTGCTCTGGATTCTGTGACATTGACAAACCACAAAGCCCCCATGCAGTGATGTAAGCTCTGAGAACTTTCCAGCCTCACAAGTCACAGCTCTTCCCTA